CACATTCTGGTCCAACACTAAGCCGTAAAAGACAGCAGCAGAATCTGCACTGCAAGCAGAAAGTTCATGGGGAAAATGTCCACTGTTCTGTAACATTAAAATAGAAGCACCGCACCTTATCACCCTCTTCACAAAAAAAATCTTCATCTTCCAGATGAAATCCTCCATCTCTGCTTTTCTGTATTAACAAAAAAGAACCAGGTTAGACTTTAGCAAACAACTAAGACAGTGTGTATGTGCACCAGTTCACTGCACAACAACCAAACTGTTCCTATTGAATCTACACACAAAGCCAGTCAAAGCTGAGGGCAGCAACACCCTGGAAATAAATAAGCCCTGTACCGAGAGAGCTCACAAATCCTATGGAACTGAAAAGCAACTCAGACTCAAGGCTTGTAAAGACCCATTCCAAGAGTTTTGCTATGTACCAGGAGAGATGCAAACATGTTTGATGAGAAGCAATTCCTAACTCAAAGCAGTCTGAAAAGCTCTGGACTAACAGAGAATCACAGAACAGCTGGGGCTGTGAGGGAGGACTGGACATCACCTGCCCTGTGCTCCTGCCTGGAGCAGGCTCAGCCAAAGCAGGTTGCCAAGGATCCTGTCTAGGCAGCCTGAGCATCTCCAGGCACAGAAACTCAGCCATGGCTCTGGGCAGCCTCTCTAGTGCTTGATCACCCTCAACATTAAAACAGGCTTTTCTCCTGTTTGAACAGTATTTCCTGTAGCTCTCTAAAATATTATTGAGCAAAGCTACAAGAATCTCCTTAAAGACTTTGCAAAGTGAACGAGCAGCTGGAGATGAATAATGGAACCAATCAGATCATCACTAGACATGAGCGGCATTCTTCTCCCACAGCCACTGAGGCTGTGCCAGACTGAATGAAACCAGAAGTGAATGAACTGCAGACCATACCAGTAAAACCCGACCTGTTCCATTTAAGCCTATAATGCCATTTACAGTCAAACCAGGGGTTAGGAACTGAACGTTCCAGTTCTTATCTGCTTTAATTGAGCAGTTCTACTGAAAGCAACAAGGCTGCTTACCTTTTGAAAACATTACTTTGCCAAACTGCAGCATTTCACAAGCATTTCAGCTTGGCAGTCCCCTTTAGTGTATAGGATGGTATACAGTATAGTATACAGCATATTGTATAGTATAAAGATTATTTCTAAGTGAGTTATTGAAACAACACATATGGGGATCCTGTGAGGTTTCTTTTCACAGAAACATTAAATTATACCTCAAATTTAAAAAGACAACTGTCATGGAACCATTTTCCTTCTCCTAGCAGCAGCACTGACTTCAGCTGGAATTCTAAACTCAAGTTAGCTTGGTAGTAGAATATTTACAGATTCCAAGCATGCTTGTGGGTTTTACATGCATTTGGAAAGCTGGGAGGAGTGAGGATTGTTATCTTGAAGGGAAAAACGTTCCCTCCTTCCCTCCCGAGATCTCAATTACTCACTTGTTGAAGGTAGTGAATTTGCCTAAAGAGGTAGAAATAAGAGCAGTTAAGGGACATCAGGCAGGGGATTCAGAAGAGACAACAGGTAATCAACTGTTCAATGGAGATGTTCAGAAAGCAGTGCTTCTGCCAAAGGTCTCTGGGATCCCCCCTTTGCCCCCTGTGACTGAGCTACTGCCTGAGGGGGAGGGGGGAAGTGGTGGTGCTGGTGCTGTCTCTTCCACCAGAAGAGTTGGAGATAATTAAAGGTAGTAGGGCACACGAAAGAGGGGAGAACTTATTAATAAAGGACAGTAAACAGTGGATGCCAGGAGCTTTGACCCTGAGGGTGTTGGGACAGCTCCATGGGGTGAGTCATTTGGACTTTTGAGGATTGGCAATGCTCTTCAAGATCTACTGCATTGGGTCTTTTTGTTTTAGCAAAACGTGCTAATGAGAGGTATCCGGCTAAAGTTAATAGCCAGACTACAAAGGAAATTGTAAGGCAGGGAAATGACCCTGGGCTTTATGTCGTTTCCAGGACATATTTTACCGAGATTCCCTGGGCAAGAGGGCTTAGATATCCTCTGGTAGAGTATGCCGGCTGGCAAGGTGGCCAGATGAGTTTCTAGATGCTTCAGCAACTATTTGATCATTGTGAGAAACAAGGCTCACTCTTTAAAAATTTCAAAGGTTTTATAAGAGATAATAAGTGATAAAGCAAAAGTAACAGCACTGGGTGCATAGCCAGATGCACATGGTTAACAACTCTTATATACTTTTTCATTGCATTAGTCAAATGCATATTTATGACAATTACACATATTCAAACATTCCTTTGAGTTTACATGTTCCAGGAATTCTTTATCTTAGTTCAACCCCTGACCTCAACTTCTTAAGAGCACATGCCACAAATCAGATGTAATTTTGAGAGTCTTGTATTTTATTTATTTCCTCAAGAGCCCCCTGGTGTGTGGTTAGAGTTATTGATAGCCGAAGGGTCAGTGGTAGATTTTTCCTTGCTCTTTCAGCATTACTTGCCTGGTTCTTTTCAGTTATCATACAGACATTGTAGCCATTTTTACAAGTACTTCCTATCAAAATTAGCTTTACTACTCTTCAGTTACTTACAAAAGTAAAGCTACAATTACTTCTGCAAAAGTTAATGTTATAATACACATTACATAGCCTCTATTTTAATATTTTGTCAAAACCTAAACTATAATATATATCACACCAAGATATACAATCTACACAGGGATTAGGGTATTAACATAAAAGGCTGACAAATTCTACTGTATCAAAGGCAGTTAAATAGAGATTACAAACTGTACTGTATCAAAATAGTTTACTAAAGTCAATAATAGCAAAAGCCAATAACTACATAAATTATTCCTAACAATCAGTTAACAAATGGTTTCTGAATATGGGATTGTGAAGGCAGTGGACTTGGATGGGGGAAGCTCATTTTACAGGGGGATCCTTCAAGGTATTATGGCTGCTTTGAGATTTCAGTGGGGCCTCCAAATTCCCTGGCAGCCTGAGAATTCAGGTCAAGTAGAAAGGATGAATGGAGGAATAAACACCCTTTGAAGCTGTTAACAGAAACTAAGATGCCATGGGTACAGCTTTTGCCATTAGGTTTGGCAAGATAAGAGCCAAAGCCGAGGGAATATTCAATTATTCACCTTTTCATTGTTTGGGATTCTTACCTTGTTCATTTTCAAGGCAGCAGTGAGGAGATGTGTATTTAAACTAGTGTGTGGCCAGGATACCGTGTCTTGTGAAATCTCTTTTGACATGAAGCCCAGTTAGCACAGATGTTGCCTTCGGACTTTGCTGTTCATAAAATCCAACTGGGACTGCAGAGAGAGCAGCCAGGAGAGCTAAACACAGATGGACCCATCCCACTTGAGTCAAGGTCACGAAAGCCCTGGAGATTTGGACTTCTCACCTGGAAGAAAAGGATGGGAGACTTTGGCTATCGGTAGCCATGGACAAGGACTTCTAGTGGGGTAATATAAACTGCTATTATCTACTTCATTCTCTGTATTTATTTGCCACACCTAGTGCAAGGAACAGACATGAAAAAGTCAGCAGGGGGTGTTTCAAATGCTCCATGTTGTGAAAAAGGGTTAATAATAACTAGGGTTTGTAAAGACAAATTGAGAAATAAGAAGAGGAGGAACTGAAAGGAAAGATCTGTGCTAATGTCTTTACAATTAACTGAAATGGGTCTTAATGTCTCTACTGACTTTGGGCAGCAGGTTTGTTGCAGAGCTCAGACAGTTTGGCTCCTGAGACAGACAAGTGGGTCTGTACAAGCCTGAACTTCGGAACTTTGGGGTAGAACAGGAGTTTTAAGGGGGGATATGGGGTAGGCGGTTCAGGAAGGCTGTACCTCAGCCAAAGGGGAAAGGCGGAGGGAAAGATGCGGCCAGGAGCTCAGGATGAAAGGAGGCTGCGCCCTCCAAAAGCCTGAGAGAAAACCCCACGGCCATGCGCCCCGGTGCACTCCTTTCCTTTATTCGAATAAAGGCGAAAGACTCCTCGGTCTCCTTTTTGGACATAAACGCTGACGTTTTGGTTTTTCCTGACACCAGGAAAGCGTGGAGTTTCCCCCTCTGGAGACATCCCAAACCCACATGAATGTGTTCTTCTGTCACCGGCTCCAGATGACTGCTTTTGCAGGGGGATTGCACAGGGTGATCTCCACTCGACCGATTCTGTGATTCAGCTTCCCATACACATCTCCCACACTTCCTCCGCTCTCCCATATCCCCCGGGGTTCCTGCCCCTATCCCCGGCACCTTCCCTCCAGCCCCCATCGACCCCTCCGACCTCCACACAGCCACCTCCCAGCTCTCCCTGACCCCGACTGTCCCCACAGACCCCCATCACCTCCCCGTCCGGCCGCCCTTCCGCCCTCCCCCGTCAGAGGGGCAGAGCTTTGCCCTACCCCGACGCCGGCACTCGCACCGAATATGGCGCGGGCGGAGCCGCCCCCGCCCACAGGCGGTCCCGGCAGAGCGGCCGCCTCCCGGCGCGCCGCTGGGTGGAGCCGTGTCCCGGCCGGAGGGGGTGGGAAGGGCGTCGGAGATGGTGAATGGGGGCAGCATGGTCTGTGCCAGCCATGGTGTGGCAGCAGGGCCAGGGCAGTGGTTGTCCCTCTGCATTCGGCACTGGAGAGGCCACGCCTCGAGTGCTGTGTCCAATTCTGGCCCCCTCAATTCAGGAAGGACACTGAGAGGTAAGGTGTGTCCAAAAGAATGTCTTCAAGTCTCTTCATTTCCCCTTCTCCCATTTGACCTGTCTGGTTGGAAATGAGGAACTGTTTGCAACCCCAAACAAAATAGAGAAGCTATTTATACTAAGACGTTTTTCCTGACTTTGGCTATGCAGAACACACAGTGATTTTCCTTTCACTGAACAAAGAGCAAGAGTTTCCGATGGGATTCCTCAGTTTCGACCTTTCTGAAAGTTACTGTGCTTGCCTTAGTGCTGTGGGGTTGTGCCGCAAAGCCAAGGCAGAAGGATGACTGCAGCCACAGAATGAGGGGGTTCGCACCGAGCCCGGCCAGCCCGGAGCCGTCCCCCCGCGCTGTGCCCGCAGCCCCGGCTCTGCCGCGCTCGTCCCCGCCACAGCCGGACCGCACCGGGGCCGCGCTGGGCGCGCGGGCCCGAGCACAGCGCCCCCTCAGGCCGTGCTCTGCCGGTGCAGCGGCGGCGGTTGCGCTGCGGGCGTTGCGGCCACAGTCGGCGATCGACGCCATGGCGGAGCTGCCGCTGCCCGCTGGGCTCAGCTCCAGCACCTTCCCCGCCAAGCTGTGGCGCCTGGTGAACAGCCCTCGCATCCGCTCCGTGCGCTGGGACAGCCGGGCCCAGGGACTGCTCATCGACCGCTCCCTCTTCGAGCAGGAGCTGCTTAGCTCGGGCGACGCCCACGGGGCGGGCACTGAGGGGGCGGTACCAGCCCCTGACTCCTTTCAGGCCACGCACTTTGGCAGCTTCGTGCGGCAGCTCAACCTCTATGGCTTCCGCAAAGTGCCGGGCTGGGTTGGCTCAGATGAGCCGGGCGATGCCGGGGGCTGGCTTCACTTCAGGAACCCCAACTTTCGTCGCGACCGCCCCGACCTCCTGCTCCGCATCAAGCGCCTGACCAGGGCCAACAGGCAGCGGCTGGCAGCGGGGCTGGAGGTGCGCAGCCGCCAGCCCAGCCGCTTCCAGCAGCTCCACACCGAGCGGGCGGTGCCCTCCTTCCCCGCCGGGCAGCCGCCCAGAGCCGGTGAGACGGGGTGGGAGCTGCGGGTGGCGTGGGCTGCGGCCGTGGGCACTGCCCGGCGGGTCAGGAGCGGGCCCTGCCCGTGCTGGGGCTGCTCAGCGCAGCTGCCCCGGCTGGCACAGGGCTGTCCTTGGGCAAGGCAGCTGTGCCGGCCGGGCCCGGCAGCTGTGCCGGCTCTGCCGGGCTGCCGGGGCTGCGGGACAGTCCCGCCGGGGCTGCGCTCACCACAGCCTGGCCCGCTCGGCTGCAGCTGGCCCAGCCGTGCGCCGTGGCTGGCGCTGCTCCTTGCCCTGCCCTGGGATGCCTGGGGGGCTCTCTGTGAGTGCGTGTGAGCCGAGGGCTTGGGCCCAGCTGGAGGGAGCCTCCTGTCCCTCCGGGGCAGCGGGGAAAAGACCTGCCCTCCTGCGAAGGAACAGCAGTGGGACAGTTTTCCCAGACAGTTGAATGAATAGGTGAGAGCTCAGTAGACAAGGAACTGCTTGTTCCTAGTTGAATAGCTCCAGAACATGTTTGGTTCTTTTTTCTTTCTGACGCTGCTTGGGAGGATGGGAGCTTGTCTTCTCTGACAGAAGTACAGTTGCTGCCAAGGGAAACACACGTGAAGACCAAAAGTGACCCAGCCTTCCCTTTGCTTCTGTTCTTCTTCTCTCACTCCTACACAGTGCTCTCATACCAGGACCTCGCTGCTGCCTCATCTCAGGGTTTAGAGCTGCCTCCAGGCCCTTCCAGGCTAAGTGCAGGTGCTCAGGAGGCTGATGTTTTCCTAACATCACCCAAGAACATCTTTGCCTCATCTGGACTTCTTGGGATTTCATCGCAGCAACCAGGCACAGGCAAATTTCAATTCAGCCATGAGCTCATCATTCCACTGGTTCCCATGGAGCTTAAATGCCAACCTGAGCTCATCATTCCCCTGGTTCCTGTAGACCATCACAACCCTTCAATGGCCTCTCCAGAGAGGAGCAGCTGCACATCTTCAGAGCAGCAGTTGCCAACCCGCAGCCCATCAGGTAGGGAAAGAGCTTCTACCTTTGCTTTCCAAGCAGGTCCTGGTTAATGACCCTTTAAAGTGTTTTCCTGCAGTGCTCTATCATGGGTAGATCTCAAGTGAGAATCAGGTAGAAAGTGTCAAGTCATCTAGGAAGGGGGACCTTGAAAACAGAAAGATTCTCTGCCTGCTTTTCCTGCCCTTGCTGCAGATTTGGAGGGTGTTCTGGGCATTTTGCAGACAGCCTCTCTGTAGGGGTACAAGGGCAAAGCAAAAGTTATTGCCTAACAAAGTGGTCAGTGTTAGGTGGACTCTCCTCTTATCTTTGAATGAAGCCAAACTAGGACCCCGATAGGATATTGTAGATGTTTAAGACTGTCTGCCCTGCAAATCAAGCCATGCCATTGAAATGAGCTCTGTGCGCCCCACAACAGCTGCAGCTGCAGAACATTGCCTCACCCACAATGATGGTTTTAGAAAAAACTCACAGTTTCATTTCAGTGTGTGTGTCTGCAGATCTGGGCTCTTCCTGGGTGAATCCACTTTCTGTGGTTCATTGTGATGACAAACTCAAGCAGCCAAATCCCAAAGCTGCTGGGAAAATGCAAAAAGCTGTGATTATAAGGTGTTTCTGTGTGTCTATATCAGATTTCCAGTCCATGCTTTAATTTATGTACATATCAACTAGGATAAATATTTTTAAGAGGAAGAACTCACTCCTCCAATCCCCTGGGAAGTCTGAATACATTTCTGGAATGGAGGTTGCTGTGTGCTTCCTGTGATGTTTGATGCAAGGCAGCACTGAGCTCTG